GTGTGTGTGTGTGTGTGTGTGTGTGTGTGTGTGTGTGTGTGTGTGTGTTTGGCTATACATACATGGTCAGGGTGGAAGTCAACTTGAGGGATTGTCCTCAGGTTCTGTGCACCTTGTTCTCTCAGTTTGCCTGAACCTTGCCAATTCAGTTACTCTGGCTAGGCAGTAATCCAAGGAATCTCACTGTCTCTGCTCTTCTTAGATGACTAATACACACTAGCTTGTCTGGCTATTTTATGTGAGTTTTGGATAGAAAAAGTGGGTTTTTCATGGTTTCTACTGTCATAATTTAGAAAATGGAAAGGGATGATTATTGTAGTTTTAGTTCAGTTATTTTAATTCCTTTTGAGTTGTCAATAACCACACCAATATTTATTACTTAAAATTATGTTGGTAGTCTAATAATTAAATTTTCCCATGGAAGCTCAAAATGGGAGCCCCCAAACATTACAGAATACTTGATACCCAGACCCTTGCTCACTATTAAATCAATATTTTAAATTGTTTTTTGCTTTGGAATTCTGTGACGTTTTAATCGCCCTGTAAGGCACACTATATTGATTCACAGTGACAGGTGAGGACAGTGTGGTGTTCTTTTGCCATCTGTGGGATGGGTAACTGGGAAATAAGTCTCCGTACAGCCATCACAGGCACGTGAACTGGAAGGAGTATATATACATGCTTATACATGCTGAAAAGTTAGGAAACAGTTATTTTACATTTCCTCCATCTGCTCACACTTTTCAGTCTTCCTGCATGTGTCTTGAATCTCATTGCTGCAGACAATAATTCTCATAAAAGCATGCTACTTTGCTTCTCTGTATTTCATGCCAACCAATATACTCATGGTTTTTATTAAAATGGGGGAATAAGAGAACTGGATGGGGGAGAACCATTGTTCCCATTGTTTTTGTTTGTTTGTTGACTACCTATCTCACAAGCCAGTGAGATATAATCATTGAGAAACTAAAAATGTTTTCTAGCAACAGGGCCCCCAAGCTCGGAGTAATAATGTTATAAATACAGACAGATGCAAATTTGTCTTTATTACTTGAGAAGCAGGATTCATCACAGGGACAGTGCATCAGATTTCCCGAATGAGATCATGACTTCATTATTGTCATCATTTCAAAGCTGGGTTCTCAGCCTCCTCATTCTTAGGCCAGTTGGCAGCAGCTGGCGGTGGTCCAGTCTGTAGTTGGACACTGGCAGTGGCAAGTATTTTCGTTCTGGATATCCCAAGCTTCACAGGCATAGCCACAAGCACAACCAGTGACAGCCATCCCTGCACGGTCATGTGAAACACAGACATCAGAGCCCCTGGACTGTAAGAGATGCAGAGTCTCTTCCTGGTCTTCCTAGGAAGCTCATGGGTAAGTCTAGGTTTTGTGGGGCATAAAACTAATTCAGTGTTGAGTGTTAGATTCAAGAAAAAAATCATTTAATTGGAATTTCACTGTCTTTCATTTGATGGTAAATTCACCTCTTCACTGGCTTCTATCTTAATAATACAAGGTAATAAATTGGGAAATAAGTGAGGACCACATCTATGACCACACAGTTGAAGTCAGGGTAGATTGTCGTATGACGACATAAAGAAAGAAGTCTTTTAGTCGTATGTTTAAGGGAAATGAAAACTGTAAAGTGATGCCTGGGCATCTGGAACTATGGCTCAGCTCCATGGAAGTGGAGATTTGATGTGTGTCGGGGGGGAGATAAGAGTGTTAGAGAATATGGGACGAAAACGGGGCCTCTTACTCACATATTTTTCTGGTTACTCACCAGCTGGACAGGAAGCCAGTCTGCCTGTAGCTTTGATACTAGTGCAGGAGATGTTCGTAGCCAAATTGAAGGGTGGATACTCTGCATGTGAGAATAAGTGGTACTATCATTATCTCTTGTTCTCACAGTTCATTTGCTTAATCATCTTCTTTGTTGGAAATATTCCTGTGTCCACAAGTAAGCTAATGACTAAGTTTTAAGACTTAGTATCTTCCTCTATGAAGTCAAAATAATAGCTGTGCTCATCTCATACATTGGTTGTGAAAAGTAAATGAACTAATTTGAAGCTTTGTATTATACCTTTTTACAATCTGCTCATAAACAATAGGTGCTACCCTCCTAGTCCTATTGATTACCTAAGAAAACTGAGTTTTTAACTATGTGTTAAAAATGGGATAAGATTATAAACAAAGCCCTGGTTAGGAAGCCGGGATAGAGCTGATTAAATCAAAGTTGGATCTTGGAATAGGATAAAGATGAAATTAGAATTTAGGAAAAGGAGGAATGAACACTGATTAGGCTCAGCTTTTCCCTACCCCATCAGTTACCTAGATTAAGGAAACTTTCCTTGAGCTTCTCCACCAAAGAGTGAAAGGACCACTCAGCTCTCACTGGTACCATCAGCTGGACAAGGGAGATGAAGATGAGAAAGGAGAAAGTTGTAGTCTTCATCCTTTTGAAAGTCAGTGTCTTGGGGCTGGAAGAAAGAAGCAAAGAAAATGAGATTCATGAGCTCTGAAGTAGCTAGCTATGGGGGACAGGAAACGACAGCTGTACTCGGGAGAGAGGAGGCAGGGAGGAACAAAGCAACCATGCTGCAGCCATTCTACCTCTTTGGAGAAGCAGAGAGGATTCTCACAGAGCAGGTTCACTCACAGAAATCAGAAAAGTGTCCAAAGCCTACCCGAACAAGGATACTTTTATACCCTGTGGAATTATCAACCCAGCAACCCCAAGTGTGTAAAACACACAACCCTCCACTTGAGCCACGTAAATACTTCTCACACCTTTCAAAAAACTCTGGCAACTGAGGAGTACTTTTTAGTGATTTCCTCGGAATTAAAACATTCCCTCAAGGACATGTGGAGAGGTTCATGGGTCTCAAGCAGTAAACAAACTTCATGTGTCTGGAAAAGTTGAAACTTGCATGTTTCCAAAATGCCCTACTCGTGTTGTAGGGGCAGCTAATCAGTTTCTGGGGAAGGAGACTCTGGCCAGATGAATTGCCTAGAAGAGAGTCTCATACCTGTTTAGCTACTAGCAAGTTGTGCAAGCAGCTCCAGGAAGCTCCCAGGAGTCATCACCCATGCTTAGATGTGCTTTTCGGTAGTTCAGTTGCTTTTGATCCATCACTGTAAGTAACTCCTCACCCAGATGCCTGTAAAGAACTCCAGTAACTTACTGATTCACCAAGGGGGACTAAAGAAGATTTTTTTTTTGTTGATCTTTTATCAATTCTCAATAAGGATGAACAGCCATGTGTGTCTTTTCTTCTGAGAAAAAAAAATTACACACAATCATTTCATACATGATTAGGGATATGGTCATGAACTAAAGATGAGTTTGAATGCAGAGATACGTACCTGAAGCTGGTTTCTAAAATGGCAGAACATCTACAGCCAGAATCCCTTTCCTTATACTGTATGGGATTATGGACCTTGTTGCTACATCAAGGGTGCTACATCAGGGGTTGCATGAGTCTTTCTTTGGGTGATGAAACGTACAACCAAGACTGTGTCTTCTATTCAGTAAAAGTCTGGGTGGGTAGTCCAGAGGGGAAATCAAATGGGGCTATCTTTCTCTATGTGATATAGAGTGCCATGCTTGCTTGGTAAGTGGGACCTATCATATGAGAACACAAATGACTCGAGAAAGGGTAGATGTAGAACAAGTTTTGTGGTCCATGACAGTAAAATAAAACAAAACCATGGTTTTTTTTACACATAAAATGAGCCAATTTAGCCTCAAAGGCCCATTAACCAATGCTTGATTTATTGACATAGATATGAGAGAGGATAATAATATAATAATGTAATTTTCATAGAGATGCAAAAATTAACATTTACTAAATGGTAAATGCCATCACTACAGTTTTACAAAAACACACAGTCCATTTAGTCCTCACCATTGCTCTTGTTGGTCCATTCTCAAGATGAGGAAACTGGAAAGAAAACTAGCTTCTTTCTTCACAGCTATGACAGAAGAAATGTGTCATCTTTCGAGGTGCACTAAGCAGTCATGTAGATACTGAAGGATAAAACAGGGAATTTGAGGTTGTTGAGGCCAAAATAAAAACATATCAATAAGAAGTGACTGAAAAACCCCAAGAATGTCAGGGAATAGAAAGTTAGGAAAATACCTTTTTTTTTTTTTCATATAAAGGGAAACCTTGTGAATTTGTTTCTCTGGCAGTGAGAAGATTTATAAGAGGGGAAAGCAGTGTACAAATGTCAGACACATAAAAACAATGAGATAAATCTATTTCACTGCCACAAAATCTTTGAGAGAGCCTAAGATACAGCAAATTATTGGAGACCCTACAGTCACTGCAGGATGATCTGTGGTTGGCTCCTGTCCTGCTCCCTGTCTTCTCCTGCTTCCGATGTCTATCACATTTGTCCTTCTGAATGAAGATTGAGCATCTTTCCTGGAGTCTTTCTTGTTGTTTAGCTTCTTAGAGTGAGTATATACCATGTGTGTCTTTCCGTTTCTGGGTTACCTCACTCAAGATGATCTTTTTCAGGTTCTGTTCTTTAGCACTCTACAAGATTGATTCTTGCAAGGGCACTGAACTGACAAATTCCAGGGATATGAGGCCACATTGTGGGCCAGCTGTGACAAAAGGGTCCTTCAATGGCTTCATGGCTGGTGGCTCACAGTCACTGATTTTTTTTTTCTTACTTACACCTTCACTGCAGACCATACCTGTATCCCTATGGGGTATCTCATGACTTTCTCCCTGTTTCTTTTCAACAGTGGCTCATACTGAAATCCTTGCATTTGTCACCTACAGCTCAGAGGATCCACCGCTTTTTACTAAGGATTTTCTTTTTTAAATAATTTATTTAATTTTATTTCATGTGCATTAGTGTAAAGGTGTCAGATCTCTTGGAATTAGCACTATGGATGGTTGTGAGTTGCCACGTGGGTGCTGGGAATGAACCCGAGTCCTTTGGCAAGCATATACAGTGTTCTTAACCACTGAGCCATCTCTTCAGCCCTTTCCTAATGATTTTCAGATGTGTAAAGATGTTTGCTCATTAAACACATGTCAACATTATTACTGAAACCATTAGCAACTTTCATGCTTGTATTCTCATCTCAAGTGCCTTCACTTCCTTTTAACTACTGTGCTTCACATGTTCAGCATCGTTCATCAAGATTACTTATCACTCCCAGCATCTCCCAAAATGCCTGCTTGCACCTGCCTCATGAATGTTCTAAATAGTGGCTGAACAATGTGTTCTGAATATCTTAAACCTCCCAATACTCCATGAGTCTAGAAATGAGTGGGTATGGTGAAATAGAAAGGATCACTAGGCAATGTTATCCCATCTCCATTGGACCTTGGCTTATCACTTCTAGACATGTTTCTTTTTCTGTTCCTGGCTGAAATCGCAGGCAGGTCCCAGAGTGCTCTGAGCACTCCAGAAGTATTTCTGTTTCTTTGTGATGATCCTGTGATTTGGCCTGTGAAAACCCTGGTCTTAACAATAATAGTACACCAATCAGTTGTGCTATATCTTGGCTACTTTCCTTTTAATCCAGCATGGCTTCTCCCGGTTAGAAGTTCTCACCAGAAGAGTTACTTCCCGGTCTGTGTCTTTGGGACAGGCTGCTCTGCTAATCTTCAAGTCTCACCACTGTGTCCGTCCCTGGGAAGACACTCTTCTACTTTTCACTCTAACTTTTAACAAATGGTAAATCTGTAGGTATTTCTGTAAATTGTTATGTTACGTTTAACCTTTTTTCTTCCACTGCACTATAATCTCCATGGGAGCAGAGGTTGTGGTTTCACAATCTCACCCCTGGCTCCCTGATAATAACCAAATATTTTCATTGATAACTGAAAGAAAAAAAACCAAAGTGTTAGTTGATATAAAAATAAGATAGCTTTCATGGAACTTTATGGAATGCTAAAAAGAAGTCAGAAAAACAAATATTGTTTGGATCACTTGTTTCCGTTTGTGACCAGGGATGGGTGTTCAAATGTTACTTCTCCCCAGAGGGCAGACATTTGGAGGTCAGACCTAGGAAATCAATCAGATTAGGAACTGGGGCTGATCTGAAATGTTAAAGGCACCTGCCTATTTTTCAGTCAGTTCTTGATTTTGATAATGAACCATCTCTTTAGAAGAAAACAGAGAAAAGGGTGGTGTTTTTTGTTCTTTCTGGAAAATTGGAAATGAACGACTAGGAAATAGTAAAGTATTTGCCCCATAAGCATGAGGACATGAGCTTGATATCCCAAATCCACATAAACAACCAGGGATGGTGGTGTGTGTCCCAGAGAAGGCAGAGACAGCCAGAACCTTGGGAATTTTTGGCAAGCCATTATAACCAAATTAGCAAGCTTCAGGCCAAATAAGAAATCTTGAAAACAAGGTGGACAACACCCAAGAATGACCTAGGGCCTCCACACATACACCACAGATACAAGTTTACCACTACCACCAAGATGCAGGAAAATGGAGATTAAGTGTCAGGCTGCAAATCTGAAATGAACACTTTCCACCAGGAAAGTTGAATTTTTACGTAGGAGCTCCAGATAGAGCAACTTTCTTTGCCAAGGATACATGAGGTGCTTTAGAGGGAACTGTGCCTCTTCCTTTGACATGTGATGCTTAAAATGACAAGTTAACATTCTTAAGTCATGCACACTTAGCTATGAAGCCAGAGTTTGCAAATTGTGAACTGTCAGATTTTCTTACTTAGTTCCTAGCATTGTTTTTATACTTATTTTGTCTCGGGGTCTGCATAGCTCCCGGCATCTTGGGTCCTGACTCCTGGTCCAAGGGGCACTCTTAACCTGAATTAAAACAAATAAGTTTTCATAGCTAACATTGTAGTCATCCTTTTGATTTTTTAATCTCTTGGACGACAGATTGCTCAGTCCTTGAGTCCTAACACCAGGCCTTCTAGGCCACACTTCACAAAGGGGTCAGGGTCCATGCCCAGAAGCATGGGCATGAACTTCACAGATGACCTGGATTCTTGCCAGATTACTGAGAAGAAAGCAAAGTGGATGAGATTCCAGAGAATGAACAAACACTGGAGCTGTCAGAAAGAGACAACTAGGAGCCTTGACATCAAAAGGGAATGTTGAGGCCATATCCAGATGTCCAAGTTCCTTAATTCTATATCTGAACTTTTATACTGTGGAGAGGAAGTGCAGTAGGGAACAGCAGAAGTCCTCAGAGCAGAGGTAGAATCCTAGATGCTCGTCTCTGGCACAACACCCAGGCTTATGCAAGTGACAGTAGATAACACACATGCTGTTCGGTAGCACAGCTGAAAGTCTCATGGCAGCTCAGGGTTCCGTCCTGGGTTTTGGCATGACAAAGGCAAAATAGTAACAATGGAGACTGCAGCAGACTATGACAATAATCACAATACACATGATAAATATGCTTGGAAGGGATTATCTACAAAAATAAATACTGAACTAAAAATTGTTGGAA